TCTGGACGGGCAGCCGTCTTGAGGAGTGGGGGGGGGGAGGGCAGCCGTCTTGAGTGGGGGAGGGCAGCCGTCTTGAGGAGTGGGGGAGGGCAGCCGTCTTGAGGAGTGGGGGGGAGGGCAGCCGTCTTGAGGAGTGGGGGGGAGGGCAGCCGTCTTGACGAGTGGGGGGGGAGGGCAGCCGTCTTGAAGAGTGGGGGGGAGGGCAGCCGTCTTGACGAGTGGGGGGGGAGGGCAGCCGTCTTGACGAGTGGGGGGGGGGGGGCAGCCGTCTTGACGAGGAGGGGGGGAGGGCAGCCGTCTTGAGGAGTGGGGGGGGGGAGGGCAGCCGTCTTGAGGAGTGGGGGAGGGCAGCCGTCTTGAGGAGTGGGGGAGGGCAGCCGTCTTGAGGAGTGGGGGAGGGCAGCCGTCTTGAGGAGTGGGGGAGGGCAGCCGTCTTGAGGAGTGGGGGAGGGCAGCCGTCTTGAGGAGTGGGGGGGGAGGGCAGCCGTCTTGAGGAGTGGGGGGGGGGAGGGCAGCCGTCTTGACGAGTGGGGGGGGGGGGAGGGCAGCCGTCTTGACGAGTGGGGGGGGGGGAGGGCAGCCGTCTTGACGAGTGGGGGGGGAGGGCAGCCGTCTTGACGAGTGGGGGGGGTGGGGGGAGGGCAGCCGTCTTGACGAGTGGGGGGGGAGGGCAGCCGTCTTGACGAGTGGGGGGGAGGGCAGCCGTCTTGACGAGTGGGGGGGGGGAGGGCAGCCGTCTTGACGAGTGGGGAGGGGGGGGGGGCAGCCGTCTTGACGAGTGGGGAGGGGGGAGGGCAGCCGTCTTGACGAGTGGGGGGGGGGAGGGCAGCCGTCTTGACGAGTGGGGGGGGGGGCAGCCGTCTTGACGAGTGGGGGGGGAGGGCAGCCGTCTTGACGAGTGGGGAGGGGGGAGGGCAGCCGTCTTGACGAGTGGGGAGGGGGGAGGGCAGCCGTCTTGACGAGTGGGGGGGGGAGGGCAGCCGTCTTGACGAGTGGGGGGGGGAGGGCAGCCGTCTTGACGAGTGGGGGGGGAGGGCAGCCGTCTTGACGAGTGGGGAGGGGGGAGGGCAGCCGTCTTGACGAGTGGGGGGGGGGGCAGCCGTCTTGACGAGTGGGGGGGGAGGGCAGCCGTCTTGACGAGTGGGGAGGGGGGAGGGCAGCCGTCTTGACGAGTGGGGAGGGGGGAGGGCAGCCGTCTTGACGAGTGGGGGGGGAGGGCAGCCGTCTTGACGAGTGGGGGGGGGGAGGGCAGCCGTCTTGACGAGTGGGGGGGGGGAGGGCAGCCGTCTTGACGAGTGGGGAGGGGGGAGGGCAGCCGTCTTGACGAGTGGGGAGGGGGGAGGGCAGCCGTCTTGACGAGTGGGGGGGGGAGGGCAGCCGTCTTGACGAGTGGGGGGGGGGAGGGCAGCCGTCTTGACGAGTGGGGGGGGGGGAAGGGCAGCCGTCTTGAGAGAGCGCGCGCTGGTGTCAACAAGGACGGTCAAGTGGAGGCTTATGTACACCCGCACATAAACGCACGCACGCACGCACGCACACACACCTGTCCTTCACCCCTAATGATCGCTGCTGCAGGTGTTCCAAAGCCCTCACCCACCCCATCACCCCCACCCCATCACCCCCACCCCACTACGGCCGGGAACCCCCCCCCCCCCACTAGAGGAAATGTTTGAATACTAAGAGAAGGAATGTTTGGAAGGTGGAGTGTGACGAGTGAACTACTCCAGCGTAACTCCCGTCCGGGTACGTTTTTTTTTTTTTTTTTTTTTTTTTTTTTTTTTTTTTTTTTTCTACCACAGACGTGGCCAGACATTTACAATGCTAACCAGCATATATACATTTTCTTCTGTCCTCCATGGACAGGGTTAGAGAAGTGTTAAACATACAGTTCAAGGGTTTATTGAACACTCAACCACAGAAGGTGATTCGGTGCTTTTAAAATGCTAAGCTAACCTACATACGTAAATACATAGATACACAGATTTACGTATGCCCTACAAAAGTATTGATGTGTCTTTACATAGTGTCATTAATGTACATCACAAAGGTGAAATGTAATTCTAATCAGCTTCCGTATATACTTTATACCCATACATATACATACATACACACACACATGCATTCACATACATTTGTCTCATTTACTCTGACAGGGTGAGATAGCTGATAAAGAAACTAGTGTGCAATTAAGCACTTAATCACTGAAGGTGATGAAGGTGCTTTTACAAGCTCAGGTTATATAGTTACATCATATATATACATTGTATAATTGATACATTACATGGTTAATCTTGGATACAAGTCCAATATATCATCAAGTGTTCCAGTACTTATATAGTAACTACAGAGTTCAGCATACCTTAGCCCAGGAGGGCGAAAGTCAGTCAGTATGGGACCCTGAGGCCACGACCACCACCACCCTGAGGCCACGACCACCACAACCCTGAGGCCACGACCACCACAACCCTGAGGCCACGACCACCACAACCCTGAGGCCACGACCACCACAACCCTGAGGCCACGACCACCACAACCCTGAGGCCACGACCACCACAACCCTGAGGCCACGACCACCACCACCCTGAGGCCACGACCACCACCACCCTGAGGCCACGACCACCACCACCCTGAGGCCACGACCACCACCACCCTGAGGCCACGACCACCACCACCCTGAGGCCACGACCACCACTGAGGCCACGACCACCCTGAGGCCACGACCACCCTGAGGCCACGACCACCACCACCCTGAGGCCACGACCACCACAACCCTGAGGCCACGACCACCACAACCCTGAGGCCACGACCACCACAACCCTGAGGCCACGACCACCACAACCCTGAGGCCACGACCACCACAACCCTGAGGCCACGACCACCACAACCACAACCCTGAGGCCACGACCACCACAACCCTGAGGCCACGACCACCACAACCCTGAGGCCACGACCACCACAACCCTGAGGCCACGACCACCACAACCACCACCCTGAGGCCACGACCACAACAACCCTGAGGCCACGACCACAACAACCCTGAGGCCACGACCACCATAACCACCACCCTGAGGCCACGACCACAACAACCCTGAGGCCACGACCACCACAACCACAACCACAACCCTGAGGCCACGACCACCACAACCCTGAGGTCACGACCACCACAACCCTGAGGCCACGACCACCACAACCCTGAGGCCACGACCACCACAACCCTGAGGCCACGACCACCACAACCCTGAGGCCACGACCACCACAACCCTGAGGCCACGACCACCACAACCCTGAGGCCACGACCACCACAACCCTGAGGCCACGACCACAACAACCCTGAGGCCACGACCACAACAACCCTGAGGCCACGACCACAACAACCCTGAGGCCACGACCACAACAACCCTGAGGCCACGACCACCACAACCCTGAGGCCACGACCACAACAACCCTGAGGCCACGACCACAACAACCCTGAGGCCACGACCACCACAACCCTGAGGCCACGACCACCACAACCCTGAGGCCACGACCACCACAACCCTGAGGCCACGACCACCACAACCCTGAGGCCACGACCACAACCACAACCCTGAGGCCACGACCACCACAACCCTGAGGCCACGACCACAACACCCTGAGGCCACGACCACAACAACCCTGAGGCCACGACCACAACAACCCTGAGGCCACGACCACAACAACCCTGAGGCCACGACCACAACAACCCTGAGGCCACGACCACAGGCAACCCTGAGGCCACGACCACCACAACCCTGAGGCCACGACCACCACAACCCTGAGGCCACGACCACCACAACCCTGAGGCCACGACCACCACAACCCTGAGGCCACGACCACACAACCCTGAGGCCACGACCACAACAACCCTGAGGCCACGACCACAACAACCCTGAGGCCACGACCACCACAACCCTGAGGCCACGACCACAACAACCCTGAGGCCACGACCACAACAACCCTGAGGCCACGACCACAACAACCCTGAGGCCACGACCACAACAACCCTGAGGCCACGACCACCACAACCCTGAGGCCACGACCACCACAACCCTGAGGCCACGACCACAACAACCCTGAGGCCACGACCACCACAACCCTGAGGCCACGACCACCACAACCCTGAGGCCACGACCACCACAACCCTGAGGCCACGACCACCACAACCCCTGAGGCCACGACCACAACAACCCTGAGGCCACGACCACCACAACCACCACCCTGAGGCCACCACCACCACAACCCTGAGGCCACGACCACCACAACCACCACCCTGAGGCCACGACCACCACAACCCTGAGGCCACGACCACAACAACCGTGAGGCCACGACCACCACACCACCACCCTGAGGCCACGACCACGAGCCTGAGGCCACGATCACCACCGTCACTCTACCATCCAGCCCAAGCAGCAGGCCGGATGGAGGGAGAGGGAGGGAGGAGGAGAGCAGTGGAGGAGTCTGCAGCCTCCGCCACTACTCTTCCTCCTCTCTCACTCCGTCACAGGTCTAGGGTCGGCAGGGTAGGGGGGAGGGGATTACCCTTACTATCTATTACTAACAATAGGCTGGCCTACCTATCACTCTAGGCTGGTGAGTGCATTTATAGCGTCAACGGCCTCGGAGACGTTCTGCGGTGGACCGATTATGGACACGTCGTCGTTCAAGACGTCTTCCGGAGGGACCTTGATGGTTACCTTGAACTGTTTCTACAGTTTATTTAAGGTTCGCTGTCTTTTTCCTATAAGGTGACAGCGTTCCTATTAGCATAGCCGGATAACCGTTTTCACCGTCTGTACGTTGGCGTCACCTGCGGAGGGAACACCATCACCAGCCCGTCCGCTGGTGCCGGACACAGTGCGCTAAGTGAGCTTTTAGATCGCGTCTACGGCTTCACAAACGTTCTTTGGGAGACCAGTTACAGACACGTCTTCGTCCAAGACGTTTTGCGGAGGGATTGAGATAGTGACCTAAAACTTCTTCTGTAGTTATTTGAGGGTCCGTAATTTCTTTCCCGTGAGGTAATGGCGGGCCTCTTTGGGTACTGGCACAACCCTGGTCACCGTTTGGGTGTCGTCGGATTCGACGCCCGTTTGGGTGTCGTCGGATTCGACGCCCGTTTGGGTGTCGTCGGATTCGACGCCCGTTTGGGTGTCGTCGGATTCGACGCCCGTTTGGGTGTCGTCGGATTCGACGCCCGTTTGGGTGTCGTCGGATTCGCCCGTTTGGGCGTCGTCGGATTCGCCCGTTTGGGCGTCGTCGGATTCGACGCCCGTTTGGGTGTCGTCGGATTCGACGTCCGTTTGGGCGTCGTCGGATTCGATGCCAATTTGGGCGTCGTCGGATTCGACGCCCGTTTGGGCGTCGTCGGATTCGATGCCAGTTTGGGCGTCGTCGGATTCGACGCCAGTTTGGGCGTCGTCGGATTCGACGTCCGTTTGGGCGTCGTCGGATTCGATGCCAGTTTGGGCGTCTTCGGATTCGACGCCCGTTTGGGCGTCGTCGGATTCGATGCCAGTTTGGGCGTCGTCGGATTCGACGCCAGTTTGGGCGTCGTCGGATTCGACGCCAGTTTGGGCGTCGTCGCATTCGACGCCAGTTTGGGCGTCGTCGGATTCGAGGCCAGTTTGGGCGTCGTCGGATTCGACACCAGTTTGGGTGTCGTCTACGTGGGTTTGGGAGCCGTCGACGTGGGTTTGGGAGTTGTCGACGAGGGCGGGCAGGGTTCGCCTGTCGTCTCTGGGTCCCTCTCGCTCAAACACTGCCCGGATGAGAATGACCAGTGCCGTCACTGGCGCCATTATCACCAGTGCCAGACCTACCATCCGTGAGAACCAGTCAACGCCAGGGGCGCTGACAGGTGTCTCACCGTAGCATTCTATCATGTTTTCAAGCAACGCTACTTACCGTAGCGACTGTCGGCGCCTTGCTACGGTGCCGAGAAGCGGCATCCATGACAACACATTGTCTGTATCTACCTTGGCAAGGGGCGAAGGGTCGCATACGGGCTAAGAAGATATAAGTGGCGTGTTAGATACAATATCCCAAAAAAGTTACACCAGGCCACTTGGTCTGGACTTCAAGATTGTAGCCCCTTGATGGTATAATTATTCCACATGCCAATCACTCGACTTCTCTACACCATCGAGCCAGATTTACCAGCCAATAAAGAATGAGAAGAAACAAATGCGTAGCATAATTCTAGACATTTTTGCCATCTTTACGTCTGAGAAGTTTCAAGTTTTGAAAACACATTATTACCCTATTTGAATGAAGCCTTAACGACTTTATATAAAGGGTTGTATTAAAATAGTAACCTTCGAATCTCTCTCGGGAAGGTTGGAATGTGTCTCCGTAATGTTGGGATCTCTCTCTCAGTAATGTTGGGATCTCTCTCTCTCTCTCAGTAATGTTGGGATCTCTCTCTCGGTAATGTTGGGATCTCTCTCTCTGTAATGTTGGGATCTCTCTCTCTGTAATGTTGGGATCTCTCTCTCTGTAATGTTGGGATCTCTCTCTCAGTAATGTTGGGATCTCTCTCTCGGTAATGTTGGGATCTCTCTCTCAGTAATGTTGGGATCTCTCTCTCAGTAATGTTGGGATCTCTCTCTCAGTAATGTTGGGATCTCTCTCTCAGTAATGTTGGGATCTCTCTCTCAGTAATGTTGGGATCTCTCTCTCAGTAATGTTGGGATCTCTCTCTCAGTAATGTTGGGATCTCTCTCTCAGTAATGTTGGGATCTCTCTCTCAGTAATGTTGGGATCTCTCTCTCAGTAATGTTGGGATCTCTCTCTCAGTAATGTTGGGATCTCTCTCTCAGTAATGTTGGGATCTCTCTCTCAGTAATGTTGGGATCTCTCTCTCAGTAATGTTGGGATCTCTCTCTCAGTAATGTTGGGATCTCTCTCTCAGTAATGTTCTCTCTCTCAGGGATCTCTCTCTCAGTAATGTTGGGATCTCTCTCTCAGTAATGTTGGGATCTCTCTCTCAGTAATGTTGGGATCTCTCTCTCAGTAATGTTGGGATCTCTCTCTCAGTAATGTTGGGATCTCTCTCTCAGTAATGTTGGGATCTCTCTCTCAGTAATGTTGGGATCTCTCTCTCAGTAATGTTGGGATCTCTCTCTCAGTAATGTTGGGATCTCTCTCTCAGTAATGTTGGGATCTCTCTCTCAGTAATGTTGGGATCTCTCTCTCGGTAATGTTGGGATCTCTCTCTCTGTAATGTTGGGATCTCTCTCTCTGTAATGTTGGGATCTCTCTCTCTGTAATGTTGGGATCTGTCTCTGTAATGTTGGGATCTGTCTCTGTAATGTTGGGATCTGTCTCTGTAATGTTGGGATCTCTCTCTCAGTAATGTTGGGATCTCTCTCTCAGTAATGTTGGGATCTCTCTCTAGGTAATGTTGGGATCTCTCTCTAGGTAATGTTGGGATCTCTCTCTAGGTAATGTTGGGATCTCTCTCTAGGTAATGTTGGGATCTCTCTCTAGGTAATGTTGGGATCTCTCTCTAGGTAATGTTGGGATCTCTCTCTCCGTAATGTTGGGATCTGTCTCTCAGTAACGTTGGAACCTTAATAAGATTCCAACATGAGCCACGACGAGAGGCTAGAGCCGATGAATGTGCCACAGCTGGAACAATCGGAGACAAAGAGGAGAAATGATCACTACATACAAAATAGGAACAGGAATCGACAAGAGTGACAATCACAATCGACTCAATAATGGTCCAGGACGGACCAAGCGTCGTCACAGGAGACTTGAGATCGCATCATGACAATGAATACAAATGCGTTTGGACCTAGAGATGATAATATATTGTTACAGGAGCACACGATGCAATATATATAAGAAAGCCGCGCTGGGACCACACCCTACCTAAGAAACAACACGCACGCACACGCATGCACGCATGCACGCATTAAAACAACTTTTTTCAGTGTCAGTAGTTAAGTGGAATACATAAGGTAGCGAATCTTTAACAACAATACATAAGGCAATGATGTGGTGGAGGCTGACTCCATACACAGTTTCAAGTGTAGATATGATAGAGCCCAGTAGGCTCAGGAACCTGTACACCAGTTGATTGACAGTTGAGAGGCGGGACCAAAGAGCCAGAGCTCAACCCCCCACAAGCACAACTAGGCTAATACCCATGCGAGTCTCTACGTGATATACCCTCACAGGTGAGGAGGGTGTGGGGGGGGGGTTAAGGGTGGGTGGTTGTAGATACTGGCGACACTATAGTGCTGTCCTTGAGTGGCGGCTCCTTAATGACTCAACCAGCTATTTCCCCCCTTTGGTGCTGAGAGAACCACTGTAGGGAGGGTGAGGGGGTAGGGAGGGTGAGGGGGTAGGGGGGGTGAGGGGGTAGGGAGGGTGAGGGGTAGGGAGGGTGAGGGGGTAGGGTGGGTGAGGGGGTAGGGTGGGTGAGGGGGGGGGGTAGGGGTAGGGTGGGTGAGGGTAGGGAGGGTGAGGGGTAGGGAGGGTGAGGGGGTAGGGGGGTAGGGTGGGGGGGGTAGGGAGGGTGAGGGGGGTAGGGAGGGTGAGGGGGTAGGGAGGGTGAGGGGGTAGGGAGGGTGAGGGGGTAGGGAGGGTGAGGGGGTAGGGAGGGTGAGGGGTAGGGAGGGTGAGGGGGTAGGGAGGGTGAGGGGGTAGGGAGGGTGAGGGGGTAGGGAGGGTGAGGGGGTAGGGAGGGTGAGGGGGTAGGGGGTGGGGGGTAGGGAGGGTGAGGGGGTGAGGGTGAGGGGGTAGGGAGGGTGAGGGGGTAGGGAGGGTGAGGGGGTAGGGAGGGTGAGGGGGGGTAGGGTGGGTGAGGGGGTAGGGAGGGTGGGTGAGGGGGTAGGGAGGGTGAGGGGGTAGGGAGGGTGAGGGGGTAGGGAGGGTGAGGGGGTAGGGAGGGTGAGGGGGTAGGGAGGGTGAGGGGGTAGGGAGGGTGAGGGGGTAGGGAGGGTGAGGGGGGGAGGGTGAGGGGGTGGGTGAGGGGGTAGGGTGGGTGAGGGGGTAGGGAGGGTGAGGGGGTAGGGAGGGTGAGGGGGTAGGGGAGGTGAGGGGGTAGGGAGGGTGAGGGGGTAGGGAGGGTGAGGGGGAGGGGGGTGAGGGGGGTAGGGAGGGTGAGGGGGTAGGGAGGGTGAGGGGTAGGGAGGGTGAGGGGGTAGGGAGGGTGAGGGGGTAGGGAGGGTGAGGGGGTAGGGAGGGTGAGGGGGTAGGGAGGGTGAGGGGGTAGGGAGGGTGAGGGGGTAGGGAGGGTGAGGGGGTAGGGTGGGTGAGGGGTAGGGAGGGTGAGGGGGTAGGGGGGTGAGGGGTAGGGAGGGTGAGGGGGTAGGGAGGGTGAGGGGGTAGGGTGGGTGAGGGGGTAGGGAGGGTGAGGGGGTAGGGTGAGGGGGTAGGGTAGGGAGGGTGTAGGGGTAGGGTGGTGAGGGGGGTAGGGAGGGTGAGGGGGTAGGGAGGGTGAGGGGGTAGGGAGGGTGAGGGGGGAGGGTGAGGGGGTAGGGAGGGTGAGGGGGTAGGGAGGGTGAGGGGGTAGGGAGGGTGAGGGGGTAGGGTGGGTGAGGGGGTAGGGAGGGTGAGGGGGTAGGGTGGGTGAGGGGGTAGGGAGGGTGAGGGGGGTAGGGAGGGTGAGGGGGTAGGGAGGGTGAGGGGGGGTGGGTAGGGGGGTTCGGGAGGGTGAGGGGGTAGGGAGGGTGAGGGGTAGGGTGGGTGAGGGGGTAGGGAGGGTGAGGGGGGGGTAGGGAGGGTGAGGGGGTAGGGTGAGGGTGAGGGGGGGAGGGAGGGTGAGGGGGGGTAGGGAGGGTGAGGGGGGGGTAGGGAGGGTGAGGGGGTAGGGAGGGTGAGGGGGTAGGGAGGGTGAGAGGGGGTAGGGAGGGTGAGGGGGTAGGGAGGGTGAGGGGGTAGGGAGGGTGAGGGGGTAGGGAGGGTGAGGGGGTAGGGAGGGTGAGGGGGTAGGGAGGGTGAGGGGTAGGGAGGGTGAGGGGGTAGGGAGGGTGAGGGGGTAGGGAGGGTGAGGGGGTAGGGGGTGAGGGGTGAGGGTGGGGGGGGTAGGGAGGGTGAGGGGGTAGGGAGGGTGAGGGGGTAGGGAGGGTGAGGGGGTAGGGAGGGTGAGGGGGTAGGGAGGGTGAGGGGGTAGGGAGGGTGAGGGGGTAGGGAGGGTGAGGGGGTAGGGAGGGTGAGGGGAGGGGGGTGAGGGGGGGTGGGAGGGTGGTAGGGTAGGGAGGGTGAGGGGGTAGGGAGGGTGAGGGGGTAGGGAGGGTGAGGGGGTAGGGGAGGGTGAGGGGGTAGGGAGGGTGAGGGGTAGGGGGGTAGGGAGGGTGAGGGGGGTAGGGAGGGTGAGGGGGTAGGGAGGGTGAGGGGGTAGGGGGGGTAGGGTGAGGGGGTAGGGATGGTGAGGGGGTAGGGAGGGTGAGGGGTAGGGAGGGTGAGGGGGTAGGGAGGGTGAGGGGTAGGGAGGGTGAGGGGGTAGGGAGGGTGAGGGGGTAGGGAGGGTGAGGGGGTAGGGGGGTGAGGGAGGGTGAGGGGGTAGGGAGGGTGAGGGGGTAGGGAGGGTGAGGGGTAGTGAGGGGGTGAGGGGGTAGGGTGGGTGAGGGGGTAGGGAGGGTGAGGGGGTAGGGAGGGTGAGGGGGTAGGGAGGGTGAGGGGGTAGGGAGGGAGGGTGAGGGGGTAGGGAGGGTGAGGGGTAGGGAGGGTGAGGGGGTAGGGAGGGTGAGGGGGTAGGGAGGGTGAGGGGGTAGGGAGGGTGAGGGGGTAGGGAGGGTGAGGGGGTAGGGAGGGTGAGGGGGGGGTAGGGAGGGTGAGGGGGTAGGGA